AAACAAAAGCAACCCTTGGCTGGAGATTGAAGCATCAACAAACTGAGCTGCTAAAGGAATTCAGCAAGCTACTTGTCCCGGTTACAACCAGCATTTCCACTTTGCAAGATGATGTTTCTCGCCTAAAGGGAGAGCTCATGTCTTTGCAACTATCCATAAAGACTATGACTGAGGACATTAGAGCCGGAATCAAACCAGCTCAAACCTGTCAACAGAATACAGAAATGGATCAAACTGCACAGACAATCTACCATAGCCTACCAGAAACAACATCACTTACCAGCAAACCCCGGTGGGAATCTACTGCTCAGCCTGGGATGACAGGTGTCCAAGTAGCACCAGGTGGCGCTACCTTTTTACTTAATAGAAGTCGAGACCTGGGGAAAAGTCCTGTTAAATTGTTATTTCCAACTTATGGAAAATTAGAAGACACCCCCGACCCTCTGCAGTATCTGGAACGCTGTGAGGATTATTTGGCCCTTCATTCCTTAACTGATGAGGAACTCATGGCTACCCTACGGAATGTGTTGCATGGCACAGCCAGAGATTGGTGGGACGTAGCCAGACACAAGGTGCATACCTGGACTGACTTCCGAAGACAGTTCCAGGCTGCTTTTCTTTCTGAAGATTATGAGGATGAGCTTGCAGAACGTGTAAGGACCAGAGTCCAAGGAGAGAATGAAAGCATCAGGGATTTTGTGTACATGTACCAATCCCTATGCAGACGCTGGAAACCACAAATTTCAGAGGAAGAAATTGTCAAGCTGCTTCTGAAAAACATAAATCCAACACTGGCCAGTCAGCTAAGGAGTAGTAGGCTAACTACTGTGGATGAACTTGTCCGCCTGGGACAACAGCTAGAGAAGGATCGAGAACATCAGCAACAGTATGAGTACCGGAAACAAGCAAGTTTACCATCTAAAATAAATGAACCTAAACCTCATGACAATGAAAACACAGTAAGGCAAAGACAACCAAATTACAACCGAAATAACAATCGGCCACACCAACCATTCTGCTGGCGTTGTAAAGGAAATCATCCTCCAGCAACTTGCCCCCATGGTGGTAACAATCGATCATTTTCTCCAAACCTCCCTCAGCCAAGTAGCAGTTCATCCCAACTCCCATCAGCTCAAAGTTCAGCGACTCTTGGTTCCCTCACAAACTCTCAACTTCTGGACCAAACCTGTTCTCCAGCCACATCAACAACTAAACCTCTGCCTTCTCAGTTGATGGTTCCCATCACCGTCAGTTCCTGGAAAGGAGCTGCTATCTTGGACACAGGTTCTTCTTATACTCTGATGAATGAGAGTATGGAATGAAATCAATGGAGTGATAAAGCCTTGGACGAGAGGACCATTATATTTGGCTGATGGTGAAGGACGGCATCCCCTGGGATGGAGCGAAATCACTATCACATTGCAAAAACAGTCAATCACCTTACCATGCGTTATTCTATCTGCTCAAAACCTCACTTTTCCTGCTGTCCTTGGTCTTGATTTCATCTCCCTCTCTGGACTGCAGTTTGATGTGTCAGAAAAACGTTATTGGTTCAAGTTCAACAGAAAACAACATTACAACTTTCTTCAAGAGTTTGCATGTTGGCCAAATGAACCCCATCAGCAACTTGCCTTTTTCTCTGCAGTGGCTCCTGCTACTCTGGTTGCCCTTGGGACCAATGATGAACTGTTGCAGAGGGCAGTTCACACTACACACCTGGATGACTTTGGGAAACAGTCATTGTTATGCCAACTGCGTAACAATTCTGATGTATGTACCACAGAGTTGGGCTGCACGAATGTACTTACTCACAAGATTTACCTTTCTCAAGATGTGCCAATTAAACAAAAACCATATCGAGTCTCACCTGCTAAACTTCAGATGATTAGGGAGCATGTAGATGAAATGCTGGAGAATGACATCATTGAACCATCCACATCTCCATACGCCGCTCCTGTTGTCTTGGTGCCTAAAAAAAATGACCCCAAACTACGTTTTTGTGTCGACTTCAGAAAACTAAATGCAGTCACACATACAGATGCATATCCATTGCCAAACATTCAGGAAATCCTGGAGTCTCTTTCTGGAGCAGTGATTTTCACTACACTAGACTTGAACAGTGGTTACTGGCAAGTCCGCATGGATCCAGAAAGCTGTGAAAAAACTGCATTTGTCTGTCCATATGGCCTCTTCCAATTTAAGGTTATGCCATTTGGCCTGAAAAATGCTCCAGCTACATTTCAACGACTTATGGAAGTAGTATTGGGTGAACTCAGAGGTAAAATTTGTTTTGTATATTTGGATGACATCATCATTTACTCAACCACTTACCATCAGCACAGTGCCGATATACAAGCCGTGTTGGACAAACTTCGTGAAGCCAACCTTACAGTCAACATGAAGAAAAGCCAGTTTTTCCGTTCCTCCATAAAATTTCTGGGACACATAGTATCCTCATCTGGTGTTGAGGTAGATCCAGACAAGATTAAAGCCATTCAAGAATTTCCTGTACCCCAGAATATTAAACAGCTTCAAAGATTTCTGGGAATGGCTGGCTGGTATCATCGTTTTGTGCCTGATTTTTCTGCCTTGACAGAACCACTCAATGCTCTAAAGCGAAAAGGAGTCAAATTCCTTTGGACACCATCTTGCCAAAAATCATTTGATGCTCTGAAAACTCACCTGGTCTCTCCACCCATTCTGGGTCATCCAGATTTCAAACTGCCATTCATTGTTTATACTGATGCTAGTGATGTGGGTTTGGGAGCCGTTCTAGCTCAGCAGACTGGGTTAGGCACCGAGCAAGTCCTGGCCTTTGCTTGCCGAACTCTAAATAAAGCTGAAAGGAACTACTCTACTACTGAGCAAGAATGTCTTGCTGTTGTTTGGGCCATTGAAAAGTGGAGATATTACCTTGAAGGACGACACTTCACCGTTGTGACTGACCATTCACCTCTGATCTGGGTTTTTAAAACTCATAAACCTAGCACTCGGCTGATCCGGTGGGCTCTTCGTCTGCAAGAATTCTCCTTCACAGTGGAATATCGAAAAGGAAAGTATAACACTGTTCCAGATGCTCTGTCACGAGCCCCAATCAATGCCTCTGACCATTCACCAGTTACCTGTGCTGTCGTACTCCGGTCGCAACGTGACACTTCTCACCCACTCCAAGTGACAGATGAGAACATCTGGAAGGCTCAGCAGCAGGATCCTTTCGCACAAAACATTTACCAACAAATAATGGACAAAGGAACAGTACATGAGTCGCCAACAATAAAGTACACTATCCTGGAAGACAAGGTTTACAGAGTTGTTCAATTACCACACAAAACTCTTTACCAAGTCTATATTCCACCATCACTCCGTCAACAGTTACTTCATCACAATCATAATGACCCTTTATCTGGACATTTTGGACGATACAAAACCTACAAACGGTTACAAGCCTTGGTGTATTGGCCGAGGATGAGCATTGATGTTCGGGACTATGTGAGATCCTGTCAAGTCTGTCAAATGTACAAACCTGAAACCCGAAAAGCTCCTGGCAAGTTGCAACAGACAGAGGTGAGTGCACCATGGGAGATGTTGGGCGTGGACCTTATGGGACCCTTTCCACGGAGTTCTACTGGTAATGTCCATCTACTTGTTTTTGTGGATTATTTCTCACGGTGGGTTGAAATGTTTCCCCTCCGTAAAGCTACTGCAGAAATAATTTCCCAATACTTGACCAGAGAGATTTTGACACAATGGGGAGTGCCAACATACATTCTCTCTGATCAAGGTCCACAATTTATTTCTTCTGTATTCGAGGAGACCTGTAAAAGATGGAATCTCACACCAAAGAAAACCTCTGCATATCACCCACAAACTAACCTTACGGAGAGAGTTAATCGCAACATCAAGGCTATGCTCTCATCCTATGTCAGTAACAAACATAAGAGTTGGGATAAATACCTACCGGAATTTCGGTTTGCTTTAAACTCTGCAGTGCATGAATCTACTGGTGTGACTCCAGCTGAACTCAACATTGGACGACCTCTGAAAGGGCCTTTGGATGCAGAGCTGAGTCCAACCCTTTGTGACCCTGACACACCTGTCTATGCTACAGTAAAACAGATTGCTGAGCTCCGTGAATTTGCTGATGTCAATCTGAAAAAAGCTAAGCAGCGACAGAAACACAACTATGACCGTGGAAGAAGAGATGGAAACTTCTCAGAAAGAGACCGTGTATGGATTCGTTCACACCCTTTATCAAAGGCTGATCAATCTTTTATGGCCAAACTTGCTCCACGATGGAAAGGTCCTTACAGAATCATGAAAAGGACTGGCCCTGTAAATTATGAAGTGGTTCTGGAGGATACTGGAGAAGATCTCCGCGTGGTTCATATATCGCAGATCAAACCTTGTTTTCCTACAGCAGAAGAAGTGGAAAAAGAGCAACACAGAAAAGTTCAGGAACTGTTCCATGAGGAAAGCGACCATGAAGATTTCCATGGTTTCACTTCTTCTGACTTTTAAATAAAAGTAGATAACTTCTAATAGAGAGTTGAGCATTTAAATTACCTCTCTCATAAGAATGTCAACACATTGATCGCATACAAAACAGCAAGCTTGGAGAAAATCTAAGATTGAAGGAATGAGGCGTATAAAGGATTTTTCACCCTACTAGCTCGGGACTTCTCAAGGGGGGGTGTGTGTGACAACCTGCTTGTTGCACAGAGCTGGCTGCACCGTTATTCATAAACCCTCCTGCTTCTTCACAGCTCAAGACACACCTTCTTTACGCCCATTTAACACATGCACTTACCTGATTGGTCCGCTGTTCAATCTGACTCCTAGCTCCAGTTTGAAAATGTCAGTGTCTCAGCAGACAGCGTAACAGAAACAGCTGCTGCTACTACGTCTGCATATTCCGTTCTATCGACCAGTAACAAAGTCAGTCCGAGGCCGTTTAATCCCTCGTGCTTTCAGTATTTTGCCACTGTTCTGGATCCCAACGATCATTAAGGAAAAGGAGAAAACCAAACAAACAAAGAAACTTCATTCTGTGCTCCTGCCGTGCTGACGTGTCATCACAATTACCCGGAAGCCGGTGACATCACAGTTAAAGGTCCTCCGTAAGTGCTATACTTACTGATAATATAAATTAATAATTTTGCCCCATTACAAAAAATAAAATAAATTTTAAATATATTCATCTAGTGAAACCAACAACAGAAAACCTGTTCCAGCGCCTGCCTCTGAGCAAGATTATTTTCTCATCAGACCTGTAAGTCCATTCTATGTATGTTTGTTTGTGCTGTTTTTTTATGCAATTGTAGGACTTTTGTTGTGTATAGACACTTATGTTTTTTATTTTCTCTTGTTATTTCACAGCTCTTGCTGTGGGGCAATCTATATTGGAGCCCTAATCCGTTGGATTATAATGGACATTTATTTTTGGAGAAGAATTTTGTGATTATTTTATGATGGCTATATATTTATTTTTCTTTTTGAAATACAAGGACTGTTAAGCCTAATTTTTTGTTGTCTTTTTGTGAAAAGTTTTCATTCCTTATTTGTAAGGGTCTACACACGCAAAAGTGTATGGTCCTTGTGTGACTGGTTTAAAAATCTATATATATTGATCCTACTTGTCAGGAGGGATACCTGACTGGCACCGCTAAAAAGTGACAAATACCCTGTTAAAAAAAAAACTAAAACTAAAATAATTAACCTTGTAAAAACCGTCACAACCTGAAATGTCTATAAAAGACAAGCCTTTGGAGTTTTAGTGTTTAGAGAAAAGGATAGCAAACATAAAAGAAAACAGAAAAGGAAAGAAAGCTGTGTATTCGATCCAAAGAATGCATAAAAAAAAATCATAAGTACCCAAGATATGGCAAAAGGGGGTCAACATTTTGTGTGTTCTTTAAAAAAAAAAACAGTTTCCTTTACAAAATGCCACACAAAAACAGAGGACCAGTTATGATTCATTAAGATAATGTTGCATTAGGAATTAAGACTAAATCAAAGCTTTTAAGGTACATATTTAAACAGTTACATCTCATTTCAACATTGTTGAGTATTGGTATACTTAGCCCTAATCCTGGCTTTGACCCTTGACCCCATAATACGCTCAGCGAGCAGCACAAGCTGCTGCATTAATGAGCAACAACTAGATTAACAGCAGCGTTTGTGTAAAAAATATGCTTTAACTATTACTTTTTAAGATTGGAAAATAGTTTTAGTTTTTTAGTTGTTTTTTTTTACTTTAACCTAAATAATGTTATCGGCTAATGTGAAGAATATTGTAAATACTTGAGTGATTTTGCTCTTTTTTTTCTCACCACTCCAAATATTCTTGATGGTTTCTCAGTATGTAGCAACTGTTTTAGGACTATTGTGTTGATAAACATCTTTGGTCCTGAAATATAACTTTTTACCAACAGAGGGCAGTATCCCCCATCTTAAAAAAACAACACCTTATTGCCCTATTGCACTCATCCTATATTTACTTTACCTCCTTAACAATTGCAATGTTTCTTGTTAAACCTTTAACTTAAATTATATACATTTCATTGCACCTTTTGCAGCAATAACTAATTCAATCCTTTTAAGATTCATACCTATAATATACAGGTGTGTGTTCATATTTCTCCTTTTTATCCCAAGCAGTTGGTTCAGGAGACTTTTCAGACTCACTCAACAAGGAAGGGAATTTTACCAAAATGTCTTTATACTCCGCAAAACCAAGAGCTCCCTTTAACCAAGGTGTAAAATCTAATTATAAAAATTAAGAAATTGCACATCATAATCATCCCACCGTCAAGCCTGGCTGGCAGCCTGCAGATTCATCAAGATGGAGCTACATTTATAGACACATTTACACTCAACAATCATATAAACGCAACACTTTTGGTTTTGCTCCCATTTTTTATGAGATGAACTCAACAATCTAAAACTTTTTCCACATGCACAATATCACCATTTCCCTCATATATTGTAAATCTGTGAAAGTGAGCACTTTTCCTTTGCTGAGATAATCCATCCCACCTCACAGGTTTGCCATATAAAGATGCTCATTAGACACCATGATTAGTGCACAGGTGTGCCTTAGACTTCATATCATATATAATGGGAGTAAAACAAAAAGTGTTGCTTTTATAATTTTGTTGAGTATATATTTACGCATCAGAGCACTTTGCATTGCATCTTGTGATCCAAGGCTTGTGTGTGATTTTTCATTCATGAAACTCTCTACGCCTATTCCTAATTTAATCTGGAGGCGGCTGGGAGTTTGAAAGGTAGCTACTGAGTCTGCTGAACGTTTGCATCCTTCCCTTTGCCTTTCACTTTTTTAGGGACATGCAAATGTTGAGATGAGAGGAAATGTCATGACTGACTTCTAACACAGATTACCTGTTGTCGGGATACCAGGCTTGAGTTCACCGCTCTCATGAGAGCAACCTCTAAGAAATAAAATTAATATATGAAAATACAGATCAACAATATGATTGTGAAATAAGAAATTGGTGTCATTGAAATACTTTTCATCATGAACTTATAGAAGTAATTATTATTTATTAATTACAGAAATAATGAAGAACTTCTATCGACAAGATCAGCTATTTACAGTATTTTCGCTTCACATCTGAATCGCTCAACCAGTAACCAGAAAATCTACTCAAGATTATCAATACTCTTACATAAATATTACCTAAGTAAAAGTAAAAAGTACTGTAATAATATAATTAAAAGTTACTCAAGTAAATGTGCCTAGTTACCTCTCACCTCAGCTGTGACATATTGAATGTAGAATATAGATCTGAAGGTTTGAAGATGAGGAGTTAGAGCTCAGGACTGGCTGTTTAATAATAAATACAAAACATGTGTTTTAGAAATAAAACCTTTTTGTTAACTGTTTTTTATATTACTGCTGAAAGCTTGCGGAGAACAGGATTTACTGACTTATTTTCACTGAAGATATTTTTGGTGTTCCCTGAGGTCTTTGTCTCTCTTAGGAACATGAAGAAACATGATGAATGAAACATCTCCAGGTGTTTTGGCACAGTATAGTCCTTGTAAATCTATTTAAGGAGCCCCTCAGAAACACTGTGCTTCTCCTACAAGGAGACACATTGCTCCTCTGCAGGGTCAGAATGGCCTCCTGGTGACTGACAGGAACATTAGCTTCACGTGGGAGCAATACAAAGAGGGAGCATCACCCAAATAGAACAGCATTGGCAGATTCCATTTAATTAAATCCTGTGTTTATTAATTGACATCACATTACGGCAGCTCTGTTCTCCTCCTTTGAGTTTTTTGCTCTGCTAAAAGTCTTCCTTCCTCCTTCATGTTTTATTTCCCAGGAGAAGCTCTAAGTGGAGCGGTTTGGGATAAAACTGTGTCATTCTATGACCTGAATCCTATCCCTGCCCGTGTTCATTAGGTGGGTGATTCCCTATGATGCTCAATCACTGTTGCAATATTATCTGTTTAAATTTGAATTATGGATGGTGACTCCCCCTGAAGAACTGGACGGATGTGATGCTGCAGCCTGACAACTTGTGATTTTACTTTTCAAAATCAATCTTTTTTTGTTTCTGTTTTTTTTTTTTTTTTCTAATCCTACTCTGACCAGGCCTCAAACTCTGTTAGATTCACATACAGAAACATCCTCAGATATTTATTGATGTGTCTCCATCTGGCTCCAGAACCAGTCCGGTAAAAATTTCATGAAGTCCTTTTTTGTTATTGCTTTCAGTCCCAGAACTTGCATCTTTCCCACAGGGCATATTCCTTGGAGTTTGCTTTAGCATCTTGGCTGCTACTTTCAGCTCCAACCAAATGTAAAAATGTCCATATGATTTGGTCAAGTTAAATAAAATAATAATCAAATGCATAATGATATGTTGGAGTGTGGTTAGAGCAGTGCGCTTGTTCTATAATAAGGCTGAGGTACCCGGTTCCATCCCCACAACCTGCACTTTCGGTTCCTGAGCAACACCCTTACTGCCCCCATACTGCTCCCCAGGGGCCACACAATGGCAGCCCACTGCTCCCCAAGGGGACGAGTTAAATGTAGAGAGTGAATTTCACCACTGTGTGACAATAAAGGGATTTACATATATGTTCACATATTCAATAAAAGTGCTGCTATGCATAGGTGTTGACTTAAATGTGTAGTCATGAGGGTAAGTTATCTGTAGGGATTGTCTTACTCTTAAATTGTTTTTTTAACTTTTGTCAGATTGATTCTGTCTTTACTTGATTGTCTGGTAAAAAAAAAAAAAAAAAAAAGTCATCTTCAGTTCTGGGCCCTATAGCTATACCCTATCCTAGTTTTTCTTTCCTTTTGTCTCATTTTGTTACTTTTATCATTTCATAAATATTAAAAAACTATTTATCCAGTTCAGTAGTTATTTGTTTTGTTCTGATAATGGTTAAGTTTGGTATTCTAATGATCTGTGGAGTCAAAAAAAGTCATGAGAAATATCAGATTTCAAATATAATTTTTGTCAAAGTTTTGCACTTTTTGGTTCTGTTTAAGTTTTCTTTTTGAATATTCATTGGTATTCATTGGTTCATTGGTATTCATTGGTTTCCATTTTGTGTTTTCAAGTTGTATTTGAGTTTTTATTAAATTCTTGTTTACACTCTGTTGCCCTCTTGTGTCAGTTTCCTTCTCCAAGCTCCCTTCTAGGTTCTTCCATCCACACCTGCTCTCAATCTGCTGATTAGTCTATTCTTTGTTTAGTCTCCCTTTTATACTCCTTCTCTTCAGTTGCTTTTTGCTGGTTCCTCATTGTTTCTTGGCACCTCATGTGTGTTTTCCCTGATGTCTCCTAATTTAGTTTTTTTTTTATTAGTTATTTTTGGGTTTTGCCCCCTTTTGGATCACTAAGTCTAAAGGAAACCATCTCAGCTTCTGTCTCTGCATTTGGGTCTTCCAAAAACCTCCACACTACCTGACAATTTTAACTAATTATAAAGATATTATGTTACTCCTTGTTTTCACTTATCATGGTTCTGATCTTACAGAAATAATAGATTTTTCCCCCTTTAAAACCAAAAAACTTCAAACTAATGTTTCCTTCAGCTTTATTGGAACCAAGAAAACAAAAAAACAAAAAAAACAGGGACATAAAACCTGCCAAGGAAGTTTGTAAATTTTAAATGTATAATGGTCTAAACATGAAGTAAAATGAATAACACAACAGCTTGCTAACAGCTAGTATGTTCTTATGTTATTTGTGAAGCATTAAAAAAGTAAAGGTAGTAAATAATTAGATCAATATTTCCTGGTAAATATTTTTGTAGTTTTTGTCTATTGTACTTATGAAGAATAGTTAGGCCACAAAGTTAAACCTACATAAAAAGTTATGCCTTTATTCAAGACACAGAATTCTCTCATTAACGAGTGTTTTAAGATCAAATATGAGAAGAATTTGTTGTACTAAACTATTCA